CAAATCAAGCACTTGAACCATTCAACCGCGACTCTACTCTCTATCGAAAAAGTTATCATTCTTCTCTTTTTTCACCCAGTAGAGTAGTACAGTTGCAGTCAGCATTCTTGTACATCCTTTATTTCACCTCTACATGTTGAATAATTATAATAATACTCTAATCTCTGTCTCTATCTCTTTCAGACTGAAACACTCAAGAGAGGTTTACACCTTATGGTCACCATTCTCGACCTCCCTCGGGAGATTCGGGACCTCATCTTCATCGCCGTGCTCGACTCGGAACTTTCTCCACCTTCTTCACCTGCAGAGCGTCGTCATGACTGCGAGCAGATACCCTACCACTATGGTTCTAGCGAGTATTTTGGCGAGCACTGCAATCAGTATTCTCTTCAACCTGTGTCCATATCTTGCTCAGGTCTCCTCCTTACCAATCGTCAAGTTCGCACAGAGATACTTGACGTCATCGCCCGCCTAAAAGCTCGAAAGCAGCTACGATATAAAATTGACTGCATGATAGAAGATGAAAACCGTATCTGTCCAACATGGCTTTCAGTTCCCGCCGTCTCATTTCACATCGACACTGTCGAGGTTGACTTTGGTATCTTCGGACAGTGCGACGGCCGATCCGACTTCGCCCCTGGCGATGGCGGCCCTGGTTGCATGATCTGGAGCCTGCTCGCATTGCTCAATCGGTTCCTACAGCATGGGCCTAACTTCCTGTCGCCACTTAAAACCAGACAGAAGATCGAGGTAGAGGTGATCACATTAAATGTCGTGACTCCACCCGAACCTGCAGAGGGATTGATCCCGAAAGGTTGGCGAACGAACCATTGGAGAAGGACGGGAGTCATCCATCCAGAGACTGTTCTTCACTATATAGAGTTTGAATTGGACCACCTGCTTAGAAGGACAAAAGACACGGCGAAGGAAGCCGAGACCGTTTATCGCGGGGTGCGCCGCATGAAATTGATGCTTGATGGAGAGACAAGGATGGAATGGGATCTTGTGGCTCTGGAGGCTGAAAGACAGCGAGCGATTGCATCATCTGCATGATGCACGTGACTACATTTTTCTACATTGCTAACGTCACTTTCTCCTTCGTCTATAATTCTCAAGAGAATATGGCTATCACTGAAAAAGCTTTTAGCGCAATCCATGCGGCATTAAAATCTGCAACACGACGAAGCTGTCTTTATTGTGTAGGTTACGTTTACTCATGCACTGTGCGGTGAAAGGTGACCGGACTATTCGTCGCCGGACTATTCGTTGCATGGACAATTCGTCGCCGGACAGTTCGTCGCAACAATATAATCCAATTATAAGTTTATGCACCTTGCTCTATCGCACAAGCGATTCATCACTTCCAAGCTGAGACCATCTCGTGGCACACCATCGTAATCGTAGCCTTGTTCTTGTAGCATTTGTCTTAGCGTATTTCCATTTTTGAATAGCATAATCCATGGATTTGAGCTATAGACACCATCGTTCCTTGGCGCTGAGCAAACGATAGACATCGTCCTTCTTCTTTCGTAATCGGCCGAAATGTCTATGCCGGAATGTCTAATTATTCGGCAAAAATGTCAGACAAACATGAAGACCAGCGTGTTTTTCCACCTTGGGACTAGTCTCCAAGTCCGTTCCACGACCAGTCAAATTTGTGGTCACAATAATTTCGCCATGTTGAATACGATTGCCAACGGCATCCGATTCGACAGCATCGGTATTGTCCGTATACATTTGAACGGAACAGGTCGGATCGACTCATTGCAATTGTTTAGCGATTGCCTTTGTGTCAAGTCATATTTCGCAAATGATTAAAATGGCTCGACGTTTTCGAATATTACTCAGTGTATCCGAAACAATCGTTTCCAACCAATCGTAATCTGTCGACGTCAACATTGTCTTCAATTGAATGTGATGTTTCTGTTTGAATGGCGAAATAATGACCGTATCCACGTTGTAGATTCGATACAAGAGATTTTGAGCATTTTTCGAATCAATCGTACCGGGTAGATCATAGATTTGGTTTTTGTATCGACTAAAGAGATCAACATTCGATAGATAGTTCGTTGTTACCGTGAGATCAGTCATTTTCAGGACGTGTTTGATCTGAAGAAATTGGTGCAGACCATCGCTCCATGCCGTACTGCCTTGAACGACGCCGGTATTGGAAAAGTCGACGGGCATGATCCGTTTCGTTCGAGTTTCATCAGGCTTAATCATGTAGTGATGATCGAGGCGACATTCGATTTTGGCTCGACTGGCGTGATCAATCCGTGTCGGAATCAAATCGAGAGCGAACCGATATAGATGAGTGGATATTTCATTTCAGATCTCAGATCAGTTAGAAGACCTTTAATATTTTGAACGATTGAGCTTCGTTTTGACAACGGATCCGAATCGGCATTCACAATTCGCCAGATGCCGCAGACAACGGATTGAGTCATTCTATGTAGAGCCCATCGGATCCATGATTTTTGGACCCGGACCCGATGATAAAAATTTATTCAAATCCGGACCGGACCCGGACCCGGTTGGTTAAATTTTTTTGTGCCCGGACCTGGACCCGCTCAAAGAAAATTCTCGGATCCGAACCCAATAATTAATTCTTTGTGATTCGGGCACGAATCACTCATTTGAGATCTATAATGCAAAATTCTAGTTCGAATTTGTTAATTGATCCAAAGATAGGATATCCCTTTTTTTCATTTTTTTATGTTCGACAAGTAACATATTCTACATATTATTTAAGCCATCCGATAGTCCGATAGCGATTCTATAATAACTAAATCTAATTCGTTTGTATTCCTAACCAATAGTTTCTGTCGGAGAATACAAATGTATTTAAAAAAGTTTCATTATTTCTTTTGTATAACAACTATTTTATATTATAGTAGTCGTTAGAGCTCATCGGGTCCATGATTTTTGGACCCGGACCCAATGGGCTCTACTGTCCACCTCGTCAATGATCACTACATCACAACGATGTTCCTGGCCAGTGACTTCGTTCAATGTTCTAGAGATGTGTATAAAAAAACAGTTTATAGAGATGAAACTGTTGATCTGCTGTCAAATCCGATTCCACCGGAATTCACTTCTTTGAACAACTGTCTCGACAGCGAAGGACGCCATTCTTCTCATTATGCTGCAAAATTGTCATTGAGATTAATCGAGAATTTCAGGAATCCACAATAGACTTTTTGACAGATTTATACAGAGCCTCTTTCTGAGCGTTACCCACATTTCTCAACAGTTCGAGAGACAAAGTCATTTATACAGTTTCCAGAATTATCTAGAGAGTTGTCTAGAGACACATCTAGACAGTTCTCTAAAGTGTCATCTAGAGAGCTCTGTAAAGACTTATGAAGAAGAATTTTTTAGAGAGCCATCTAGACTGTTTTGAACATGATCTTCTACAGTCTTCTAGAGCACTTTCGAGAAAGGCCACTAGAGAGTTAGGCAGAGAGATGTCTAGCAAGTCAACAACAGAGTTTGCTCGCTAGGACAGAGAACAGACTTCCGAGTAAATATATATTTAAAAAACTAATATATATTCTTCTACTAATATATATTTCTAACATATATTCTTTCAGTCATTCCGCAGGATTAGATGGAAAATAAAAAATAGCAGCATTGAACAATAGACAAAGAGAAAATGAACGAGACTTTACAGAGACCACAAACGCCCGATGTATTTTAACTGATCGTTAACATCTGTATGCGGATTTTCAATTAAATTTAGTAATCGTTTGTTGAACGATTCATTCTTTTGTTTAGGTGGTTGAGTACCCGACATAGCATTAATGACATCCGAATGTAGAGTATTTTTTCTTTGATCAGTTTATCGAGAAATGTCCATAGAGCTGAATGAGTGGATTGAAAGGCACAGTTCAGTTTTCGGTGCCATGCTTCGACGTTATTATTAGTTCGATGCATGCCATTCTTCATTGATTCTCGAACTCAGCGTCTGTTTTTAAACTGCGCAAACTAAGATGCACAGAAAGCAGGCCCGATGCATCTAGATAAGTCAGTTTTTTAGTCTTTTATTTGGATACCTTGTTGCAGCATTGCTTCATGCTTCAGCAAAAACACCTAGTTTTTTACACCTGGTACATTTTGTCTGAAAATTTTTACATAATTTACACCCGTTATGGAGTGGCCAATTTCAACTTAATAACCAAGCTACCTGACTAGATGCTTCAAAATAATTTGACGGATTCTAACACTAGCCATGTAAGGG